CCAAATGTGTCACATCATTGGTGAAGGTGTTTGGGTTTTCATTTAATAGAGTTTCTGTACCAATTCCATCAAATGTGACATCGTAAAGCAAATATGTTTCCCTTGAGTGTAGAAAATTGAGCAGTGTGATATACCCATCATTTGTGAGTTTTATTAATGATATGTGTTTGGTGGATGTCGTAATCTGAGCAATATAGAGATTCCTTCAAATGTGACATCATTTGGTAATTATTGTTTTAGTGGATGTGTTAGTTTGAGTAATATTGAAATACCATCGAGTGTCACATCAATTGGTGAAGGTTGTTTTTGTAATTGTAGCAATTTGAGCAGAGTGACAATACCAATAAGTTACACTAAAATCGGCAATAAATGTTTTCCATCAGATACCATAGTTTATGACCCAAATGGTCGTGTTTTTAAATCTATCTGTTCGGTGCTTAAATTATTATCAACACATTCTTAAATGATTAAGTTGTATTTATTTGTATTTGTTTATTTTATTATTTTATAACAATCAAAAAACAGATGAAACAATAATTTATGAGACAAAATAAACCAAATAAGATCGTACCGCCTTATTAAAAATTAGAAGAAAAACAAAAGAAATTGTTAAAGACCTGCGACATACTTGCACTAAACGCCATACCTGCACTGGCTTACATGGCAATACATTTTTACAAAAAAACATGGGAAAATTGAAATTTCATTTTAAAATTTATGAAGAAAAGAACGTATTAGAAAACAAAAATCATTTATAGTTCGCTCAAATAATATAAAGATTTGAATTTAAACAATTTATAAAACTAATTAAAGCATAGAATGGTCTTTCATTAGTTTCATTTTATATAAAATTATAATAAAAAATAATGTGTAAATTTGAACATTTTTCTATTTATATAAATCAAATAAAAAACGAATTTAATAAAAGACTTGCATGCATATATTCGATAAAATTTGTTATTATTTATATTAAATTCATTTTTGGGTATATTCGTTCAATTTATTAAACAAAATATATCAAATTTTAATACATTTTATTATAATAATATAATTCATTTTGAAAATAAAAACCGAAAAATGTTTTAAAACATCTTATTGGAAATAAGATGTTTGAAAACAAATAAAATACAGAACTTATACTTGTATGAATACGTTTATTATTATTACACATTTTAATGAGTTATTAACACTGTACTATTATTATTAAATTAGAATTTAAACAAATTAATTTTAATAATTTTTTTATTCTGAATTGTATTTATATTATAATTTATAACTTATTGAATAACGATCCAAACCAAACCCATTTTAAAAATAATTCAATTACATCATTAAAATGTTCTTAACTTTTGAATTGATTATATATTTTAAACATAAATTATGGGTTTAATTTATTATTTAATAGTAAACATATAATATATTATAACTTAATGAACAATATTTGATAATAATTGGACTTTAAAACAAAAAACCCACAACAACACAACAATAATCAAACAAACAAAAATAAAACATATTTTTAATAAAACACAAATAGTAGTCGATTACATTAAATTAAATGTTGTCTAAATTGAATACAACAAGCCAAATAAATGTTAATTTCAAATGACCTTACCAATGTTAAATCTTTAATTGTTTCATTTTTGTTTTTTCAAGTATTTTTTTAGAGCTACAATGACTTGAAGCCATCAAATACTGCACTCTTAATTGATATCAAGAAGTTATTTTTTACATTCACTTGAACAATTTTTATATTCAGTGTTGTTGAAAATGGAAATTATTTTTTTATTTGTTATGTTTTGAGTCTATTGTTCGCTTTTTGAATGATATATTATTATCATGTCTATTATTTTATTTTAATAAATTTATTAATATTTATAATAAATGAGCTATGATATTTTATTTGTTTTTTGTAATTTCTCTCAACCATTGTGATTATTCAAAACATTTTTGTTAACCCTTCGAGGACTGAAAATTTTTTATTTTTTTCTTTTTTTTTCAGAAAAAAATTTCAAAAAATAATTTCACTTTTCCAAAAAAATGAAAATAATGGCGACTTTTCATGAACAATTTAGAACGATTATTGACTTATTTGATAAAATAGTTCAACTCAAATTCAAATTTTTGAATTATTTATAA